TAGTAGAATAGTCACAGCTATATTCCCCTTAGTCAGCATTTTTTTGCAGAGCTCTTACCCCTTGGAATTAGTTTCCAGGGCTTTCGTTAGGGCTGTTGCGGCCGCATGTCAACCGGAAGAAGGTGATCGAAGGGAAGTAATTGTAATTGGTTGAGAAAAACCAATCAAAAAGTATGTATAGATATAAGTGATGTTATGATTGGTTTGAAAGCTACTAATGTAAAACGGAATAAAAGAGTTTTGTAAATTGGTAATGGAGGTTTTAAGGGAAAATAACATTGAATTAAGTGTGAATACTTTTCGTTTCCATTTAAAATTGCTTTTGGAAAAGCATGGGGGTTTATTTGAAAGCATGATAGCTCGTATTGGAAGAGAGAGAAGAACGTACTTGAAAATTTGTGTGTAATCTATCAGGAGTTAGACCTTCGAATTTTGGTAGAATTATGGCTTACTTGACTTTAGTTTTTAAAGTTAGTGATTTTTGTGAGCCTGAAATTGTGCAAGAACAAGTGGAGATTGCTAGCTTCGAAATAAAACAATCTTGGATACAACGCTTAATTGCATGCATGGTTACGCGACTAGTAACCTGGCGAAATTTGAATATCACTAATCTAGGTTGAATAGCAAAAGTCATTAACTGTTGTACATGGCCGAACACATTGTACTTTACGACATTGCCCAGGCCTGTCGCAAGAAAACTGGCCTTAACGACAGGACATAAGTACCAGTGTACAAAATTAAGGATTTTGGAAACGAAATTCTTGATGGGATTTTTTACGTTTAAAAAAGAGAAAAATTGTAGAATTAGTGCGGTCATTAAACTTTAAATACTTAGAGCACCATCAGTGTGTTTTCGTTTGCGTCGGACTGTCATGGACCCAAACCTAAAACCTCGCGACGCGATGATGTCATGCTTGGGGGTGGTGATAAATTTCACATTTTCGCGCTCTTTTCAGTCGAGATGGAGCAAGCAAAGTGGGAAGAGGTTGTTTCTTCGTGGATGAGTGGTAAATCGTTTGAATTGAGTACAGAGTGTGAGAATGGGGTTGGTTTACCTATTGAAAAGGCGGAATGGCAAATTACAGATTTGGAAAACATTTTGATTGAAAAGGGTTTGATACCGAAATTTATTCGTGGGGACGATGCCCTGTATGATATATTGTTGCGTCAAATGCAATCACAATTGATTCTGAGTGTTGTTGTTCCTAAACGAGTGCGGGGCCCTACCTTTGCTTATTTGTCGAACTGTAAGCAGATGCTTGTGGGTGAGATATTTGCAGATATGACAAAAAGGAAGGAAAAATTCGAGAAGAAAACCGGTGTTAGCTTGCCGACAACTATTACAGATTGGCTGCGAGCGAAGTCGAGAATGAGATCTAGAAGAAAAGAAAAAAAATGTCTGAGGAGTTACATGAGGCGAGAAAACGTGCAAAAAAAGGTTATATTTAATTTTAAAAAATTTTTACATTTTTTATTTATTTATTTAAAATACGTCCTAGTTGTTGTTGTAGTTCTGGAAATTGTTTTATCTTCTTTACTGGTGGTTTTCCACATGTTGTCAAGTGTTCAGCTATTGCATCTTCGATCTTTGCGTGTTGACTTGAGAATGTTGTCTCGTCGTTGAGGTGAACGTATTCGTAGATTTTGGGTTCTGTGCGGGAATTTCTGTATTTTTGGCTAGCAACTGTTCGAGTGTTTTGTCTCGATCTGGGTCGGCGAGATATTCGGCTACGGCATCTTCTAAGTTCGGTTTGATGCTCGTGAACTTTTTAGACTTGTTCAGATGAATGTATTCGAAGTCTGCGGGTTTCGTGTAGTACACGCGACCGGTCGACATAAATTCCTGCGTACCGAATTCCTCGATTCGTTTGAATTTTTCTTCGAACTCGACTTTTCGCGCATCTTCCGTTTTACGCCATATGTCAAGACGACAATTCTCACAGTATCGAGTGCGAAAATGTAGTTTACGATCGTGTGCATCCGTATGTTCGCAGTGTAGGCATCCGTTGTTGAGACATTCTTTTTTTGTTAGCGACAGTACGATATCTTTTTCGATCGGAGTCATTCTTTCTTCGTCGTCGCTCATGTTTTGTATTTTTTTTTTAGGTTCGGGTTTGTTTGGCGATAAAGAGCCATGGTGCCCTACACTTATAAATGATGGGTATGTGGAAGCTGTCAAAGGTGAAATTGAAGATGAGCAAATCGATCGTTATGATGAAATTATAATCATATCTAATTACCCTACAAAGAACGATGAGCACGTGGTATCCAACGGAAGTAAATAAATCAAAAACAAAACTTGTACTCATTTACCAAATATGGTAATCGACTGTTTTTCTCAAAAAAAACCCCTCGAATTGATGTACAAGGTTCTGTTTTTTGTGTGAAAAAGCAGTGTTCAAATGTGATTATAGCGTGAACAAGAGATTGTGATTTATTTTGTATTAAACTGTTTGATATAAATTTACCAAAGCCAACGTGATTTATTGTGCCGTGCATTTATTTCAAAACAAAGTAAGGACTATAGGGATTCCCCGACAATATTAATCTTTAAGGGGGCCCTCTACCCTCATTTTTTTTGTTCGCGAACCTATGTGCAACAGTAGCTCTATCTTATTATGGTTTAATGTATATGCAACATGCCATATATCATTTTAAAGCTTATAACATTATCTACCCAAATATCATTACAGATGACCTCCAAGGAAAGAACTTAAATGTATAAGAACCATGTAAAACCGAAAAGGTTAATTTTTAACCCGTCCATGTTTGAATTCTATCTAGTACAAAACTAAGCATCAAAACTTGATATATTTAAGTTGAATAATAGATTACATCCCAGTCAACAAAATAATGGATGCTTTTTGTGTAACACTCTATTTTGTTGCCATGGCAATGAATATTAGGTAAGGATCTTATTCATTAACACCAATTTTGGTATAGAACATCCAATTTTTATCAGAGTGCAAAAAGCATCCACTAATTTGTGCAAAAACACCTAAAGAACAATCTCAGAAAAAATCAGCAAGATTGCTTAAATATATACTTTTGGAGTTTTTAGGATTTAGGTAATGGCCGGAAACCAAAATACAGTTTCTGAGAAAACGCCATTTAAAGTTAGTTAACTATAGCACAAGCGTTTTCTAATGTATTACTGTAATATACCTGTCCAAAGCCAACACATATCACTGTGGGAATGTTAAAATGTCATTTTCATTGCCTTTTGCTGATAAAAAGTGCCAATGGGGCATCATCACTGTCCTCGGAATCATTGTCCGCAAAAGTCTAGCTAGTGGATAGTCATCTTCATCATCATCAGATGATGTAGAATAATCAAGAGGGTCGACATCATTGAACTTCCCACTGGCATATGAGGATTCACCTTTCTCTTGGTTTGCTGCAAGCTTGGCTTCTCTGATTTTCCTCCTTCTTTCCTTTTTCGTCAACTTTGCCTTCTTTACAGAGTGCCTCATCCTTGTCGCATCTTTCTTCTTGCAGCCTTCCAGGGTGAACTCACCACCAGGGATGTTTGCAGCCTTCATGACATCCTGTCTTGATCCAGCACCACAATTGAAAGCCAGCACAGCTGACATAGCAGCAATTTCAATAACTCGAGGCCCTTGTTGAAAATATCGCACATAACCGACATTCCATCTCTCCCCACTCCCATTTCCATTGCGGAGTAAACCATTCGTCGATTGATGTCAATGGAATTTTTTGGTTCCATACCTGATTCTTGTTTCCCGAAGTTTGAAGCTCAATTTTAGTGTCACATTTAGAGCACTCAATTATGATAACTGCGCTATTTCCATATCTACGAGCCTCGTCATCAGTAACTTTCAACTCTCCCCCTGATTCACAATTATGTAAAGACTGAAATGCATTACCTAAATTTGAAAGTTCAATTAGTCTATAACCATATTCGCCATCGAAATCTTCTCTTCTATCGTTATTTTGACTTGTTGTCTCTCGTATGGAAGCAGTTTCATTGACTGGCGTTGATCCATATGGCGTCGATGTTGAGGACAAAACAGGCTCAGAAGCGAGCTCAGAAGAGCTGATAGGACTCGAAGTATTCCATCGACTTTGGCCACGAAATATGTCTTCTTTTTCGACACTTTTGGCATTGCCAAGAAATAATAATCTCTAAGAGACTATTTTCAGTTACAAATATTGAAATAAACAACAAAATAAAATACAGCCCAGTCAAAATATATATCTTTGATGTATTCTCAGTGTTGATAGCTATTCTCTCAAACAACAAAGTAAATGTGGTGTTAAATGGCTTAGTGACCAGGCCTTAACATCGTTACCACTCTCTCATGTGTGAAATATCATAAATACAACAAAAAAAATTCAAACGCCCACAAACAACCAAGGAAACCGGCCCAACAAACAGTAAATATAAATGCGTTTCGATGGCAACGGGAAAGACGGTCGCATACCCTTTCAAAAAAATTCAATTTTGAGAGAAAGGAAGGTAGTATCCGACCCAATTTTGTTTTGACAACTTTCTACACATACTAATCATAACTTTTATGCAAAAATTTTTTTTTTTAATTTTCAAAGTTCTTAAAGGTAGGTTACAGTCCCTTCTGCGCATGTCTGTGATTGTTTTTGCCTGGGGACTCCACCGGAAGTTGGCATCTTGGTTTATACTCGGTCCAGTCTCATTTCTGGCAATAACACGCGCGTTGTTTTTTTTGCAAGCGAAGGAGTGAAGCTAGAAGTTTCCAAAATATATTGAGCTTTTTTGTTTCTTTGAGCGACAATCCGTCAAATAACGAGTTATAGTGGCAACATGACGAGTAAGAAAGAATACTACGCTAGCAGGGATGCTTCCAAAGTGTATCAAAAGTGTATCTATTTTATTGTTTTCCTCGATGAGAGGTGCCATTTCTGTCTGCGTTTCCTCATGATATACCTACATCCTCAAGCTTCTACTAAAGGTTTTCAAGAAAAGAATCAAAGAAGGATTGGACATTTCACCCAACATAGCTGATATTCACTCCCTTCATTGACATTGTGGATCCTTCAGTGAAATCGCTTGTTGAAGCCCATCAATAGAGGTTTTAATGGCTATAAAATTCTCTTTATTTACTATTTTAATACACTATCGTTACAAACCAACTGTTCTATCTCTTTTGTTTACAAACTGAAACCCATGATATAATTAAGGCCTAAAGATATGAATCATATGATACTCGTGAGTAGAAGTTGTCAATGAAAAAGTGTTAATGAGCAATTTGGAGTCAACATGTCTTGGATGGCTGTTTATATAGTGTTTATTGTCAGAGTGAGAAATGATATAAATTAATCTACTTGACCGTGCTTTAGCCTTTACTGTCTAATTTGACTGTCTTCTCATGGACAACTTGTGCTCACTTAATAGAAACACATAAAAGGTTTTTCTGATCAAAGTATATTTTAATCTGATCAAAGCATTTAACAGTTTAAAATATTCATATTATATTGTGTTTATATGGAAACATGGGAACCAGGCTGGCTCGCCTAAGCGAGATGTTGCTTAATTTGTGAAGCCTAAACAGATCTCGACTAGGTGGGCTGGTTCCATAGGCGTACGGGAGGGTGGGGCTGGGGGGGGCTGCAGCCCCCCCCCCCCAAAATTTTTGAGAATTTATCTATTCGGGCAAAAATTGTCTTGTCATTCGGGCAACGATGGTCTGGTGATTAGACGAATATATTGATCCATAAAGCGGAACAGAAGTATTATTTCAACAAGTTCAACTTTTACGTAAGGTTCAATCATGCAATGGAAATCTGTAATGGCAACGTTTCACTACGTTTGTGTATATTTATTAATACCATAGATCGCATGCATCAGGTTAACCTTTATTAATTTAAAGGTCAAGTGCTCTAACTTAACCGGATTTGGTTTTGATTTTTACGTTACGCACATACCACAGACTTAAATCCCCAAGACCCCAACAACGAAGGAACAATTATAATTGACATTGACGTAACCGTACAAATACTGTACAATGACATAATGTGACTAATTTTAGACTTTTAGAAAGACATAAAAGTGCGCGATTTTTTTTACAATCATTACGTATGGCATCTCGTAAAAGACAGTACCGACATCGCGTTCGGTGCGAGGAATGCAATAAGGAAATCGACAGTGATTATAAAGAGGTGCATTCTCGATTGGTTCACAATGGTAAAAAAAAGTAAAATGTCATCCAGTGATGGAATCATCGGATTCATCCCAGTCGAAAATCAGTACTTTCTTTGTAAAAAGTAACATGACAACCAAGGACGATGATAACCTTAGCTTATAAATGAAATGGCTGGGGACGACATATTTCTTTTTATATCACGTTCGTCAATCTTCAAATGAAAGCCTTTCATTTGTAGTCTTCTTAGATTATATAATTTTATGATGACGTCACGAAATCTATGACGTCATGTCATTTGGGCAAATTCAGCCCAGCCCCCCCGAAAAAAATGTGCCCGTACGCCTATGGCTGGTTCACCTAAGCCGCTGAAGACGAATATATTGTTGGAAGTAAGATATTTGATATATAATTTTAAAAATTAATTGGTTTGGTGAGTTAGCCCGCCACAGAATAAAATCTGCTTAGCTCAGGTACCCCGATATAAATAATAGTATTATTAATACCCTCCCATATAGTCTTTTAGTTAATTCCTTAAATTATTATTATTATTATTATTATTTAATCTTATTTAATCACGGTAGGCTTTCAGAAGTACATCTGTTTTTCAAAGGGCCGTGAGTTCATTAAAATATTTACATAATTGGAGAGAAAAAAAAAAAGGAAATCTAAAAGCGAGAAAAACAGGCCACTTACAAAAACTATTTACATAGATGCAATTAATTACACTATAGATTAGGACCAATGGATTAGGAGATACGTTTTATGACATTCTTAAAGGAGTTGACAGAGACATCTTCTATTAATGCTTGATCAATAATATGATTAGGTTAAGGTAGGTTATTCCAACTCATAGATCCTCGATAGGGAAAGCTATTTTTTAGAAAATTTGTCTTTGGCTTAGGAAGGTAAATATTTCTATTGTTGCTACGTAATTGATAGTTGCCGTTTTCGTTCAAGTTAATTGTCTGCATTAGGTAGTCGGGCACTAGACCTTTAAGGGCCTTAAATATCATTACAAGGTCGCGCTCGTCTAAGTTGTCTTTTATAGCTCTCCAGTTTAAGGTTTCAAAAATGTTAGCTGATCGTATGTCGTAACTGGATCCTGTTATTACACGAGCAGCCCTTTTCTGTAACTTATATAATTTATTAATGTGATCAGCGCGAAAGCCATGCCACACAGTTGAGCAGTATGTAAAGTGAGGAAATACAAGTGAATTATACATTGTAATTAAAACATCTTGTGTAACAAAATCTCTAGCTCTTCTTAACATTCCGATACGTGCTGAAATTGTTTTACATTGTTTACTGTTATGTTCTTCCCATTTTAATTGTTCATCTATAATTATGCCTAAGGATTTTGTGCTTTC